GCCGAGCGGAGATGGGAGGCGGTGGCAGCCCAGGACCCGCCCTCTCGCCGTCGCCGCCGCCGCGCCTGACCCACGCCAGAGTGGCCCCAGCCCCAAGAAACGCAGGCGCCGAGGCCTGTGGGCTGCTCAGGCAGTGCGTATCCACAGCAAGCTTCCAGCACTGAATGCGAAGACACGGCGGAGGCCCACACCAACACACTGAGAAGAGCCTAAAGAGAAGAATGAGAGGAGACCTGATCGCTCTCTAACGCTACCTGAAAGGAGGTTGTAGGGAAGCCGGTGCTGGTCTGTTCTTCCGGGTAACTAGTGGAAGAGGAAATGGCCTCTAGTTGCATCAGAGGAGGTTTAGATTAGATACAAGGAAAAACTTCTTACAGAAAGAGTGGTCAGGCATTAGAACAGGCTGCCCAGGGGAGTGGTGGAGTCACCATCCCTGGAGGTGTTCAAGGAACATGTAGACATGGTGCTTGAGGACATGGTCTGGTTAGTATGGTAGTATTGGGTTGATGGTTGGACTGGATGATCTTACACGTCTTTTCCAACCTTAGTGATTCTCTGACATTGTCACACCCTGCAGAACACCAGAATCCCACAGTATGTGCCAGTTTGTGCCTAATCTGATGAAGTTACATGAGTTTGGAGCAACTGCCCCACTGAGTCTTACCTGGGAGATGGTGCTGCAGCCTGTTTTCTCCTATTTAATCTAAATTGACATTCTGGAAATTGCCATGGGAATTATGGTAAAAATGCCCTGCAGGAGCCTTCACTGTCTTCAACTGTCAGGGGGAAAGCCCACCCAAAAAAATGGCTCATACATGAGATCTTAAAATTGGCCAACTCTGACTAGCTTAATCCCATATGAACAGGAAAAACAAAGAGGTGATAGATCAACTGCTTACTCTAACTGTTGGTAACTTCACACTCAGTGCCAGAAAGCAGGGTCTGTGGGACACCCCTGCCCTGAGTGCTAATTGGCCTAAGATAAGGAGAAATTCCCAGAGACTGGCCTGGATGATTAGGAAGGCTGTTGGCAGCTTATACTAGCACTCTAGAAGGCACCAGTTAAAAGCCTGCTGGAAGGGGACAAAGGTGGCAATCGAGTACCATGACGGTGAGCATGAGGTGCAACCACTGGGCACCAGGGCCAGGCCACCAGCCAGGACCTCACGTGCCAAGTGTGTACACCATAGATTAGGAACGGGAATCGACCCACCATACTCACTCTGCTTAGTAAATCAATTTGTGATTATGTTGTCACTGAGTCGTCCGATTCTGCTCTTGCAGCCACCCTGCCCCTACCTGGGCTGTTAGTATAGGGAAAAAAGAAGGGAATACAGTTACAGGAGGATACACATACGAGTTGTTTTATACAGCTGCAAAATACAGCTACAGTACCAGGAGATAACTGGGGGGGGGGGGGGGGGGAAAGCTGATAGAGAAAACTAAGTAATGTACTATTGTGTTGCAGAATCTGAAAAGGGGTTTAATTCAACCAGAAGATACGCAGATTTATTTCAGCATAAGAAATGAGAGCATTCACATGATTGATTACCTCCACACAACTGGCTACAGGAACTGTTGTCCCTATCCAAGTCCACTGTTGCTTGTTTCAATTGCTGATGGAGGAGTCTTGTGTTGGTGCTGCTTGAAAAAGTGTTGCTAATCATGAAAGCTTCCTTTTTATATAAACACATACAACAATCAAGGACAAGTATTCAGTGCAACTAAAGCATTATTCCTGTTCAAAGCTGCAAGACCGTTATCAATATGAGTCCCAGTCCTGCCTGCTTCAACACTTCCTAAGGAGCAGCTGCAAAGTGCCTGAGATGAGAGTAAAGGAAATGTTGACGCATGCCAGCTTCAAAAACTACATCTGCCCTAACCTACCTGATGGTGCCCACACCCCTTATACCTTTTCAGTACAGTGCATACTCATGAGACAGCTTTTTTACTAGTTAGCCTCTAAGAAAAGTGACGATATTCCTTGGTATGGTTTCTTCTCCTTGCCAGCTCTGTTCCACCCCTGCTTAGGGACTTCCATCACGCATTGCTCCTCCTGCTACCACCCACCCACATTGGCACCTGAGCCCATGAACTACACTCCTGCATGCTGTGTTTCCAGTTGGCTAGTACACTAGTAGCCAACCAAGCTTTCAGCAGCTGCTTGACAGTTCTCTACTTCATCAAGCAGAAGTTAAGTTTCTGCTGAGTTGAAAATAGGAAGACTCTGTTCTCCTCTTACAATCCTGACAGAAGAACCAATGTATTTTTTCCTCCTATCACATGTAACACTGTGTGGAATGACTGTATGTAGATCAGTAAAATACAGCACTCGGGACTACCAAAGGTAACCAAAAAGTCACAAGACTTTATTATAATCTAAGGTACAAAAGAAGTATGTTCTTCGGGTTCCTACTTCCTAAGTTTTAAGTATTTCTGACAATTCCTCAAAGCACATGTACCAAATTATAGTTCTATTAAAAGAAAAAGCATAAAGATGTGATTTTTTTTTTCCCCCACACCGACCCTAAGTGAAGTGTTAAAAAATCTCAGGCTATAAAGAGTTCACCTCCTGGGTGCACGGCTGCAGGATGAGAGAGAAAGATCTCTTGTTAACATTGCAGTAAGTTCACAGACTAAGCAAGAAGTCAAAATATCAAGTAGCAGAAGCTCTTTATGCTTCCATAAAGAGGCTGCAAACGTACTCAAAAAACTGAAAAAGCATACAAACTAGCTGTATGATCACAGTTCTGACCATAAATTTCTTCTTAAAAGTGTGTCATTGTAAGGAAATAGGACAATAAACTACAGTGTTTTCTTCATATATATACATTAAAAACTCTTAATTGTATTACTAAACATTAATTAGTTGATTTAAATGATCCATGCCAGCACACTTGATATAAGCTAATCTTCCACTCCATATAAATAAAAATTTCCAGTTTTGAGATCTTAATGGGCTAAAAATCCAAATATGATGACAATTCCTTCTTCAACAAACCTACCCATGTGTGCAAATCTACCAAGAATCCCAACCTAAAGAAGACCAATATCCTGACTGAGAGTTGTTTACCACATGCCACAGAAATAACCAGTGCAGCTACAGAGAGCCAGTATGTATTCTAAGCAGCAGTTCTAGTACATTTTGAAATAAAGGATAGTATATGTAGAGAATGATTACAATACATAGATCTTGCATTATATTTACAAAATTTTAAATTCTCAATGATGCAACTACCTGACAATGTGAAAGAATGTTGCTCTCAAATGCATGCAGTTAACTGTATTTATTTCGTAAACTTTGCATAAATCCAACCACTAGAAAATTCTCTGATGAAAATGTACATTTAAAAGACCACATTTAAAAAAAAAACCTAACATGCCTGCATTTCTGATACTTCACACAGTCTTAAACAGTGCAGGATTTTTTCTCCCCGGCCTTTACACATTAGCAGTGGCTGGCTAAAACATTGAAGAAGTGAAAAACTTCATCTTTATCCATCACTGCCACTTCAGTTGAGCACTCAGTACATAATACTGGATGATACACTTCCTCCTCTTCTTCATTTGATTGTATAGAGGTAGTTTCTTTGCTGTGCTTCATTTTCTTACTTCTTTTCTTCAGCTTCTTTCTGTATTTCAGAATTTCCTCTTTGTTAACAATGCAGTTCATCACAAACATTGCTCTATATTGTGTTTTGTAAGATTCATGTCTACAAAGAAGAGAAAATGCAAGTCATATCATTGGTAATGCTCTGCTTCCAAGAAATTGGTTATCATCACTGGAAATGGGATTAAAGACAGCAAGTACCATGCCAAAGGGCTGAAAGCCAAATAAATATGGTTTTATAAACAGAAATCACAACTACAAAAATTAATAAAAAATAGAATTGTAGCCATCTGTCCTGGTTTTAAGGCATTCTTGCTGAAATAAACACCCCAGAGTAGAGACCATGAAGTTGTGAGGGCAAATGACTCAAATACCAGCATTTATATCCTAAAATGGCTTGCAAACCTGAAATTCCTTACTAATGAATAACAAACACTGACACATCACACTTGAAAAAGCATGTCTATAATAAAACATAACATGTATTTTCAGCTGTCACCAGTATAACAACTGTATAGCTGGCGTATGTAGCAAAATTCAGGGCTGCAGTTCAATTCAATTCAACAGTGTCCCTCAGGCTGCAGTTTTACAGCAGCTTAAACCGACATAACAGGTAGCTGCATAAGTCCTATCTCTACTTCTGCTGGCTTTAGTGCTTGTATAATTCTGTGCTGAGCTACTTCAGTTTATTAAAACTGCAAAAGACCAGTCTGAAAATAAAAATGGATCATTTCCCACCAGCCTAGAAAACTGAAATACTCAGCAATATAATAGGCCATAGCCCACAAAGGGAAGAAAATGAGGAACAGCACCCAGTACTTAGATGATTTTAGGCCACTGTGGAGTTTCATCCTCAATCACCAAAACTACTGAATAAACTAGAGGTAGTTCCTCACTGCACATGATTTCTTTCTCCGTTATTCCCAGGTTCAAGAGTCCTCTCCTTAGCAGTACTAACTAGGTTTGCAGTGCAGTCAGATACTGGACAGCTGCAAAACATACTATGGATTCTCACCTAAATGCTTTCCAGGCACTTGTTAATATAACTATACTCAAAATCACAACTGCTAAGACTCAAATCAAGTGAGAATACACTATCTTGATTTTACTTAATCCTTCCCTAAACGAGGCACTTTCACACAAAAATAATAGTTAACCTGGAATAATTCTATTCCTCTAAACATCAAGCCAACATATTGTGGAATAATTACTGGAGGTGGCTTAAACTAAACTTATATGAAAGGCCCAGCATTGTTCACAAATTAAGGAAAGGCATGGTATTGAAGGGGCTTTCAGGGGGGAGCACAGTTGCAAGTGGTATGCAAGAAATCCACTCCATGGTGGTTCCCTGAACAACAGAACAATACTGCCTGCGCAGCAGCAGGGAGGGTGGAGCGGAGTGAAGATTCCATGGCCAGGTTCTGTAAATCACTGCAGAGATGGGAACTTAGTAGTGGTACGAACTGATAAGCCACATATTTGCCACCCTGGGCCAACAGTCTGTCAGTTTTTGACAAAATGCTGTCCTTGATGCGAACTTTGCTCATTATAATGTCATTATAATACCAAAACACACCTCCATCCCAAAAGCTACCCGCCTCTGAGGTGCGACCACCCCTCATCGAGCGTGCGCTCTGAATTTTTCTTAGTCTATACCTTTAAAAGTGAAGCGAAAGAATCTTACACCGATCATAAGTAAAGGTATGCATGACTAGGGGCACTCAAGCTCCACCTTGAAGATATAGAAAATAATATAAAAATGGCTCAAGAGAAGGGGAATGTTGGGGAAGACGCCATCGTAAACAACTCTGGAGATACCATTGCAGACTGCCTCTGCCTCCTGGGATCAGTCGACGGTCTGAGCCTCTCTCCCCCTCGGGGAATGTTGGGGAAGACGCCATCGTAAACAACTCTGGAGATACCATTGCAGACTGCCTCTGCCTCCTGGGATCAGTCGACGGTCTGAGCCTCTCTCCCCCTCACAGGGACGCCTTGGGTGAGATTTAAACTCTTAAGCATTCTCCTAGGAAACCTAAAATCTCTATACAGAGTTATTTTATGCTGCTATATCACTCGAGTAGTTTTATGTTACTATATTCTGCATGCTGTATCACACATAGTCTCAATATCTGCACGTGCTTTGCAGACTGGACTATCACCGGCAATCCATAAGAACCTGTGTTCCTGTCACTGTAATGAACTGCACTTGTACGTAGCTAGCCGCAGAGGTCTCTTAACAGGCACTGCCAGCTCTTTACTGGCTGTGTGATACCATGGAGCGTGACTAGACGGGAGTGCAGCGTGCTATTAGTGAACTCGGAATCGTGATAGTTCAATCACACTGAATGCAGCCGGACTAATAGTGCCAAACTGGCTATCACTCAGAATCTAAACCTAGCCACCCTCAGCCCCTCTGATACCTGAGGACAAGCTGGAACGCAAGGGGGTTTATTTTCTGCCAAATTACTTTATCCTTTTTACGTGACACATATTTAATAAATCAAAAAGCCACACCACCCACAACTCACACTGAAATTCTTGTTTAATCTCCATGATTTTTTTTTTTAATAGTTTACATTCTCCACTATGCTAAAGTTCTATTGTGTTCTTCATCATCTCCATGTTGCAGGTTAAGCTGATCATCATTCTTACAAAGTAGCATTCATCCCTAAATCTGATTCACATGTATCTGCCTTCTCTTACATTATCTCCACCTCACAAGACATACTTGATCAAATCAACTGATCAAATTGAACATGCTAAGAATACAAAAAAAAAAGACATTCCAAAAAGACCCCTTATTGTTCACCAATTACCTCTGACAGTCCAGACATAATGTTGTCATGCAACCAGGGCAGTTCAAGACAGCATCACTGTTTGGAACAGCTGAAAGCTTTGTCTGCTGCAGTGCCCTTCTTTGATTATGGTACCTACCAATTCAAGAGAGGAAAAGACAAAAAGTGAACACGGGTTTAAATTGAAAGCGGGGAGGTTTAGATTAGATATCAGGAAGAAATTCTTCCCTGAGAGGGTGGTGAGGCTCTGGAACAGGTTGCCCAGAGATGTTGTGGATGCCCCATCCCTGGATGTCTTCAAGGCCAGGCTGGATGTGGCTTTGAGCAACCTGGTCTAGTGGAACGTGTCCCTGCCCATGGCAGGGGGGTTGGAACTAGATGATCTTTAAGGTCCCTTCCAACCCTAACCATTCTATGATTCTATGAAATTACGTGCCCTTATTGTCAGATGTATTAATTCAACCTCAAAACCCTTTTCATATTAAAATACACCAGTAAGTATTTGGCTCCTTCTTGACACCTCTTTCACTAGCTCAAAGCACATAAATAAATACACTGGGGAAAAAAACCACATACCAGTATCTTCATTTACTTTTTACAGAGGATTCTGATTTGGTGAAACGAATACATCTGGCATGAGATTTTGTGCTTAATAACCCTCTCCTCTTACTTGAGGCAGTTGTCTCAAGTGCAATCTCTGCAGGCAACATGCATTAATGTTATCCTATTCAACAGATTTACATGCAGAATTTTACTTCTGCCACAGCAACCATTTTTCTACTTCACCCATCAAAAATCCCAGTAAAGCAGCTTTGTACTGTTCCTATTTTATCTGAACGTTTTATGGCTTGCCAAATTCAAAATTGTCCAATACCATACAATACGATGTTTAGCAGGAATTGATATTAATTTAGCAATCAAAATATCATAGGGCATTAAGAACTGAAATTAGCAAATCTTACAACCTTTTCATCCAGTATATGGTTATTTAGATGAGATCTACAGACAAAACTGGCTTACTGAACTGGGAAGATTTGATTTTAAAAGACTGCAATTTTCATAATTGTGTCATTTTGAAGACTCAAATTCCATTACATACATGTAAAAATTTTACGAGATTTAAAGTTATATGCTGTAAATTGTAACAAAAAAGAAATGTGTTCATTATATAGACTTGACAGCATAGACTTTTTCCTCTATGTTCACCATTTCACTTTTTCATTCTATGTTAAGAATCCTACAATTCAAATATTTATGGTCTCTTACCCCCTCCTCTGTAAGTCTACCCACTCTTGGTCTCGACTATCTTCTTCTGGGTCATATAGCAGTTCATCATTGGAAAGAACCCGACGTTGCTGATGTTTTCGGTTTCTCCGGATGTCCTGTGGAACTGGAAAGATTTGTGCAAGCACACGTTACATCCACGATTCTCTGCTTAAATAACGAAAATACCAGTTTTTCAGTTTTCCTTTTCCATACTCACAATAAATCTAAACTAAACCATAAAAGGTCTAGCTCATCCCTCCTCCAAACACACAACCCTAAAACATTCATGCACTTTACATACATTGGGATACATCACAAAGTTGCAGGAACTAGATCGAGATGATAGAGGCTGGTAATTCCCCCCAAAAGGCTACCTTCAGGAACAGCCCCTTGACTCCCCCAAGAGGATTCCACACGATCTGAGAGACAGCGTGCTACTGTAAAGATGTCCTCCTCTCCTCAGCCATTTACCTAGTTTATCTTCATCTTCTGAATCAGAATCAAAGTAAATATCATCATAGTATTTTGAAGCAGTGGCAGGTCCAGTCTGTCCAGTACTTGAGAAAGTACCTGTGTGTGACATTAGAGAGACGAGCAGTAAGAACACCTGACCAAAAGGACAGCAAGCTTACAGCCCAGAACAAACCTTTGTTTTCAAGTTACCCTATCCAGAATTGCTCTGATTTAACTGGGTGTGTTAAGTAACAGCTCTCCCAATTTATTCCCACATTGTGATCATCCACATCACTGGCATTATTTCATTTACAGATGCTCTCTCAGAGCAAAGCTGCTCAGTCCCTCTGAGATGAACCTCAGATACAGTTCAAAGGAGTTTCTCCCAAGGTACACACCCTTTAGGCACAGAGGACATCACATAAAATACACCTGCCTCTGCCCTATATAATCCAAGCAATGTCAGACAGTCCATAAATCTTCAGTCACGCAAAAGAAATACAGGTGTGGCACACTGTTTCCCAAACTTTGGATTACAATAAAATTCACTAATAAAATCCTCCAAAATTTCAGGGCCACAGAAGTTCAAAAAAGACCTAGATGAATAACCAAGCACATCTGTCACAACCAGTCTGCACCAATATTTTGTACTGGATGACTGTGGTGGTTTAACCATGGCTACATCTTAATTGTACAACTAAAACCTACAAATCAGATTTGCTCACCAACACAGATAAAACTATTGAACCTACTGAATACACAGTCAAGTGTATTCTTGATTCTCCAGGAAATTAAAAACACTCACTAGGTATTTTATAATAAGTAAAGAGAACTTGTGCTCTTCAAATGCCAAAGCAATTCATCTCTTGCACCCATAGTACACAAACACCAGAACACGTATATTTTTAGTACAGTTTTACTCTTTGATGCAACATGTAATTGTAATCAGGTAAAGAAGACATTAATATTTTTCCTTTTTCTCCCAAGTGATTTGGGATCTCAATCTACCGCATGCTACTGCTTTTTTAAAAAATGTCTCCAGAAAACTTCAGGGGGCTTCAAGAAAGATGACAGGGAGTCAATAAACAAAGTACAAGAGACTGCAACCTGCTCAGGAGGCTTCTAAAGACAACTTAAAACAGAAGTTATAGAGATATTGGAAATAAGGGGATTGATCCAACAAAGAAAGAAACATATTAAAGCAAGAAATCAGAAACAGCAAAATCAGTCTCAGAAGAGATGAAACAGGCATTCACAGAAGTGGCACCTAGTGACCATTTCTGCAGCCACTTTTTCTGTAGGTTTCAAATGGCATTCGACTGTCACACACACCTCTACCCACAATACATTAACTTCACACCTTAACTAGACACCACTTAACTCATTATTTCATATGCAAGCAGATGTTAAGTGTGATTTACCCATTTCTGGTGATTTCCATTTGTCTTCTATAGTCCTCATGGTGGTGTTCAGTTCTGCCTCCATCTCTTTTTGGAACTCATCGTCACTGGAAGACTCGCTCTCTCCAGTCAGGCACTCCCGTATCAGCTTGCGCTTCTGGTCAGGAGTGCCATGTAAGAGCACATCCACCTCATCTTCTGAGCTACAAATATTTAAATGTTACGCAGCTAATTGTGATAACCAGCTTAAAACATTGACCAAGGCATTCAGAGAATGAACATCTGAACTGCGTTGGTGCACTGGAAAGCACTTAATCGTGTGTTTATGAGAAACGTATTTACTAAAATGTTTTATGAGCTTGTTGGTATTAAAACCCTGGGTTTAATGCAAAGGACTTCAGGTGAGCGGCTCGGGCCTGCCGAGGCGCCTCTGCAGCTCTGGTCAGCGGGCCTCGGTGCAGGGACACTGATCCGTTGGCAGTTATAGGGTTAGAAATGCAAATACTCCGGTTTTAAGGAAGAAAATCGC